GGACTAGCCTAGTACAATAGAACAAATTAGTGCCTCGTGTTATTAATGTATGTCTTGTATACGTATTTAAGTAATGCTGTATTATCATCAGTGGGACTAGCCTAGTACAATAGAACAAATTAGTGCCTCGTGTTATTAATTTATGTCTTGTATACGTATTTAAGTAATGCTGTATTATCATCATTGGTATTATTAATTATTATGCATTATTATTATTTTTTTTCTTTTTGTTTTATCAGATAATATTATTACCGCTATTGTGTACAGTATACTACATGTATATTATATACATGTAGTATATATTATATACATGTAATTATAATAATTGTATGGCTTATACTTCGCAATTATAATCTAATTTTTCAATATATCTTCATTTGTAAGGCGCCACGTTTCAAAGCTTTGCTTCTTTTGGTGGCCTTTTTCCAAATATAATTTTATTTTAATTGTATTGCTTATATTTATATATATTCTGGTAATAAAAGCTTGAAAATTGTATTTATACCGCGTTATTTCCAACGGATTCATTTAGGATATTATTAGGCATATTATCAGCTCTTCTGGAAACCACAATAATAAACATAAGCGAATAAACAATTTTAACAGACAACATGGTGTGCTTTAAATATTTTGGGAATTTCCATAGTAGTCAATTTCCTAAAATTACGACATCGGTTTACACGACTGAGTGGAGCTTTTGTAAAGCAGACCTTTGATAACATTGAACCAGGACAATATACTGTATTCAGGGAAAAGAGATCTTAGTCTAATATAAAATTGTAATTCTATAATAGAAAATATTCGGGGAAGGGAGTGGGTGCGACTGGCCTGTAGTACAATAGGACGAATTAGTACCCCATATTATTAGGCATCAGCACAACTTCTGGAATCCACAATAATAAACCTAAGCATATAAACAATTTTAACAAACAACATGGTGCCTTTTAACTATTTGGGAATTTCTATGGTAGTCATTTTCCTAAAATTACGACATCGATTTACACATGGGTCTGTTTAGTTGCGTATGCAGGTAAGCTGATTTTTTTTTCTTGTAACTTTTAGTGTTGTGAGGAAATGTTCATTTTAGTGAAATCACATTCTGATGTATTTCTAATAACGAATTTGATTGGCTAATTTAACTGTTTTTGTGTTTAAATTGTAAAAGTTTTGAAATTGTAGTTTTGGCATAATTTTAATGATTTCTTTGCGCAATATAAATACAATAACACTTATTGTTATGTCTTTGGCCTATTGGGAGTCGGTTATGAAGAGCACAGTTCAAAATTAACTTCTGCTACGCTTCGCTTGGCCTAAGATAAAACATACCGTACATTCTGGTCTTCTAGAAACCAACAGTCATCACCTTAGTTAGGAATGCCCAACTCAGTGTTAATGGATCCCTCATAAAAGCCTCTAAAAATGCTCGTAACTTGGGTTTTACATTTGACTCCACACTGGATTTAGGATTTAAGTTCTCATGTGAGTAAGGTATGTAGTATAGTGTACGTTACCATTTGCGCAACTTGTGGAGGATTCGAAGATTTGTTAATCAAGATACATGTCATGCGGCAGTTAGAGCCCTCGTACTATTGCGAATTGACTATTGTAACTCACTCTATGGTGGTCTCTTCAAGAAAGACATTGATGACTGCAGAAATTGCAAAACTCTGCTGCTCGCTTAGTCTTTTCATATGATCCTCGTACACACTCTGTTCCTCTCAACAATGAACTTCATTGGCTGCGTCGAGTTATTAATAGAATTATTTTCAAAATAGTTTGGTTCCACCATTAAGGATTTAGTTCGGAAGACCTGCCAATTTGTTTGCTTAGGAAGTATGAGAAGGTATCCCTACGCTTCATTAAAGCTGAAATGGATTATCATTTTTTACACAATTGTAAAACGTTCGACGTTTTCCCTAAATTCATTCATTTTCAAAATTATTCCCACTGTTCACAAATGTATCTATGGTTTTTCTCCTAACTATTTATATTTTTTCTCGACCAACGTATCCCTACACGTACAACACTTTTCTCTTCATCTGTACATTTCATTATACCACGTTATAACAAGAGAATTGGAGGTTTTTCATTTCCTTGTTATGTTTCTAAGCTTTGGAATAATCTTCCAACTGACCTGAGATATCTCAGATCCTAATCGTTTTAAACGTGCACTCAAGACTTACTTGTTTGCCTTAGCCCCTCTCCCACTAGGGGTTTTTTCAGCATACGAGTTACAAGAGACTGCCGAGTTGCTAACTCGGCAAAAACTCATAGGACAATTCGGAAAGCTCGGAGAGGACTCTTACCTACTCGTAGCAGCTCTGAACTCGTGGCGCTAATTTTGAACATGTTCAAAATTATCGCCACGAGTAGATAACTTGTAGTAAACTCGAAGAACTCGTAGGTAGCTCGTAGAGTACTCGGGGTACTCCTACCTAGCTCGTACACTACTCTGGATACTCGTCGGCGATTTTGTCATCTACGAGTTTGATGCGAGCACCCAAAAACGAGTACGAGTAAGTACGAGCGCACCGAGTTGGCTCGTACCTAACTCGTATCTAGTTCGGTACAAACTTGTTACGCTCTTAATAATCTCGTAGTTAACTCGGTGCTCTGCTGGGCATAGTTTGTACATAACTCGTAACCAACTCCATAGAGTCGTACCTCACTCGTAGCTAACACGTAATAAGCTCGTATAGGTCCTTTCCAAAGATCACGAGTTTTAACTCGTAGAAATCGTACGACTCTTAGGTGAAATAAACCTAGGTGGGAGAGCAGCTTAAGTCTCTTTTTGCTGCTTTTCCTTTCGTGTTTTATTGTAGTAATCTGTTTATTTGTCTTCGTTGTTTGTGTGAGTGTACTATTGTAATGCATGGGGTTCCTGAATAATGATTGATTTTATGCCTACCATTGTTTTCCTGAATTATTGAGGCTTGGCTTGCGCTTCATAACCGCAAGAGAAAAGCGCAATATAAATACCCAATACCAGTATCAGTACCAGTACCAGAAACCATGATGGATCAGGGTAAAGTGTGTTCTTGCCAAATATGGTACATGTATTTTTACAGGGGTTTAATCGTAGTGTAACCCATGAAATGACATATATTCATTAGCATACTTGATTAACATTTGAAGGCGAGTAGTAGTTAGGCTTACAAGTAGTAAGTCATCGGCATTACAAAATGCATTGAAATAGGCATAGATATGAGATGTGGGCACGTATGTACAGGTTCTATCATATGTAGTGTCACGAGTGACAGAAAACAAAGGTTGACGTATTTCTGCAACTTTCTTCAGTGTGACACACTAGTTGGTTGGCTACTAGGAATTACGTTAAGAGGTTGACAGCGCGAACGAAATAGTATCTGAAGACCTATTAAGCCTATTAATAATTGGTTATTCAGAATTATTTATATTATTGTTCCACAGTAAAAACAAAAACGAAGATGAGTGAACAAAGTTATCAAATAAGTAAGTAATTTAAGTGAGTAATAATTAATTTTTCATGAATGTAAAATAAATTGAAAAATAATTAATATTATTTTATACTGTGATAATAATTGTATAACATTAATGGTACTGATGATCATAATGACGATGATGATAACAACAACAGTGACATGACAGTGCTGATGATACTACTATAGGGCCTATTAGATTAATGATTCAATATAAATGTATTGCAAAACAAACGAATGTATTAAATGGATCCTTTAAATAATAGCCCATTAATAAAACTAATTTTAATACCAATTCTAATACTGTAATAATAATTAATCGTAATGATAGTGATAACAATGATAATGTCTGGCAATTACTATAATGGTGATGACAATAGTAATAATGATTGATGATAATGATGATGACGATGATGTGGTTGATCTTGAGGTTTGTAATACATGAAAATAACACACAGAAGACATTTCTACATTTCTGGCGTACACTTAATTTATATCAACTGGAAGTACCTCGATCGAGAAACCTAGGCACACGGTTACAGTGGCCTACCATACTAGCTGCCAAACATTTTTTTTATATTTTCAAATTAGCCGAGAGATTGGCAATAGCAGAAATCCAAGATCACCATGCATACAATATTTGTACATAATAAGGGCCCAAATATCAGGATGTTCTAACGATTTTTTAAATTACTTTATCAAATAATCACCAAAAACGTAAATTAATAACAGCTTGTAGAAGACATCGGACAGCATCTATATGTTAAATTTTATTTTTATATATGTATTTTAATACAAGTTCATATTTTTACAAATGAAAGGTCAAAGTATAACCATAAAACAAAGGAACTAATACAGTGACGCTAATGAATTCAATTGCAATTTCATAAAAAACAAAAATAATCACGCTATTAATGTTACGTTCAATTATATTTATTCAAATGTGTTTAGAAACCAATAATGGTAAAAGAAGTAGAAATGAAACTCTCGTAGATATGCCGATCAGCATTCGACAAGAGATTGAGCGATGCCTAGATGTGGAAGCACCTGCTGCAAGTAACTGGCAGCATTTTGCTGAAAAGTTTAACATCAAACAAGACGTTATCCGTAATTGGGATAGCAGAAATGTAAAAGTTCCAGCTTTTAGTGCATCTGCGTTTATGTTTGACCACCTGAAAGCCGAACAACCGGAGCTGACAGTTGATGATCTATGGCAAGTTTCCATAGATAAAAAACGTAATGACGTTGTCAGGATTATTAACGAACATTACGACCAAATGCTTTGTTAGACCCATTCTCGTCACACTACTTGTGACGTGTCGGGCATGACACTTTATCTGCATTTGCCTCTCTTCACCCAGGGGTATAAATGGGTACCTGGTAGGAGGTGATTGATTGGGAATGAAATTAGTAATGCTGATTACACGTATATGAGACCCAAGACCACAAAAGGGCTGTAAACTCGCATTACCTGGTTTCGAGAAAAAGGGCCAAATAGACAGTATAACATGTAATTTGAGCAAAATGTGACTATGTCATAAATATAAAGTACTAGTTTTGAAGTTTGGGTTAAATATTTCAACTCTAAACCCTAAAATTTAGTAATTTTGTAATTTTATGAAAGCCATTCTACAAGAAACGTAGGCCTGTATAAATTCACCAACTATTTTCGCTTCCAAACTCACCTACACACAATTCAGGCCAACAACTAGATAAATGAAAACTATCAGATAATAATACGTTTATTAGTACTCGTATGCTATGTATATGATTTCAGAATAAACAAACAGTATAGATATAAAATAGTAGAATGGTCACAGAGCCAGGTTAGACCTACTGAGAACATTTCGGTTCTTTGTAGTGAAGTAAATCTAACACGTATTCATGAAGTCATTCAACTCGTGTACAAAATAGTTGAACAAACTTTAAAGTATGTTCCGAAAGTACTTGTAGTGCATCGTAATGTGGTACAAAACCTAGTAAATGCATACCTAAATGAAGGAAATAGCCTTGGATTAATTCAAAGAATACTTAACTGTTTCATGACCTGTTGGAAAAGATTTGGAGAACAATCCTCTTGCCCTCTTGCAGTGAAGTGGATCAGAAATGATGTAATTACATGTTAAGAAACTAGTTGTGGTTATTGAAACTTTTAAAAAATATTGACGCCAAAAGAACAATCATCTAAATTATTTTCAGCAATGTGAAACTAAAACGTATTGATGAAGTATTCACACAACGTCATTCAAATCATGTACAGAATACAGCTTTCAACAAAGCGTTGAACAGCTTTAAAGAACCAAACAATAACGTGCGTGTCGACACTACGAATTATTTTAGGGTTCTTGATTCCAGAGCGACCAACCGAAAACCGGTAAAAAGCGTATGGAAGCAAAAGGTGCATGGACATATGACAGGAGGAAATATGTCACCATGCAAAGCGTGGAGGTGAGCTACGAAAGGGAGAGAGAGCAGAAGGAGACAGTGAAAATGGGTAGACAATGACATTAAAGGTGGAATGTAAAGGCAGATAGAAAGTCCAAGTGTTTGTTTAGACCATAATGTCAAGGCTATGATTTATGTTAAAAGAGTGGTGTGTATTAATGAGTCCATAGGGGTTACACCACTAATAATATGTTGTCTATAATATGCTCTGTGAACATTTCCTGCCCCTTCCAGAATGTAGTAAATTTTGGTTTGTTTCCTAATTCACATACTGCAATTTATATTTCTGTCTATACGTAATAATAATGTTCATTACATGTTCCTTTCCATATTGAGTGATATTTTTGCTAGTGGGATGATGCACTGCCACTAGTCGACACTATGGCAGTTCCTCTCATGATGCAGTGTATTTACAAGTTTAATCGTCATTATTTTCCTTAGAATTCAATCATTATGTACAATATTACACTTCTATTTGACTTCCGATGTTGCTGTTCTGTTGAGGACACTACCGCAGTTTTTGAATGTGATTATTATCAAACAACTCTGCTCATTGGCTTTAGCAACTTCCCTTACAGTGGCGGCTACAGAAATTTGTAGACAGCGGGTACGAACCAAGGGGACGGAATAAAAAAAGAAATTCTAGTAGGCTAAGATTTTATGGCTTAGTATGGCTCCGGATTGTGCTTTTAAACAAAATATTAGAAATTGCCAATCAAAATAACATTAGTTGGATAGGCAAATTGATATTTTTGGTCCGACGTTAGGGATTCAAGGATGTCCGATGGGAGGAGAGTGAGTGGGGGTGGGGGTGGTACGGCTGGCGTCCAATGCTGTTCCCTTACCATGTTTAGATTTTGTCTAGTTTTATGCTACGACTAGATCGTTTGCAATTCTGACCGGATTTAAATTTTCTCCAATATGCCCTTACTCTCCTCTGGAGTGTTTAAAATATTATGCCGTTCCACCTAACAAACTAGGTCGGCGAATTTTTTAGTCTATGACCTGACCCCCCACCCCCCAACCAAAAATTTTTAAAAATCAGTCAATTACTTAAAAATCACCTAAAATCACCTTCTTTTTGCTAATTAGAGCCCACCACCCCCACTTCACTTTCGCTCTTCTCACTTCACCTTCGCTCCCAGCTTCACTTTCGCTCCCCCCATCGTTTGAAGACTTCTAGATACGCCACTGCGACAGACACTTGTTGCTAAAATCGATCTGTTAGACTGATGTCGACTAGGTATTTTATTTAATTAGTACAGATAGGCCTAATAATAATACAGACGATTTGAGGATTTTTCTTGTCAATGATGATGATAATATTATTGAAAAACGGGTTGTTTGATGGTTTGACAACTAAAAATAATGAGCCAATGTCGATTAAATTAGTTGATCATTGTTAATAGTAACAATCACAAACTGAAAGTGAACGACACGACCAGTTTGGATGACATTTGACATGACCTTTAACATGATGACTTATTCTACTATAGACTAAAATTGTCTTCATTATTAGGATGATTGCACTTCTTCATGTGGGTTAACTAAGATCAGAAATTTTATCTATCTAATTTAGCTATAAAAAATGAAAAATCAACTAAAATACTGGAAATCGAATATTCAAGATATGAATTACAGCATTAGGCAGCAACAAATTATACTTTAATAATTATTATATGAATAATATAGGTATAGGAAATCATGACGTAGAATACAAACATAGTGCCCACGCTAATGACCTGTATCTGCTATCCCTTTTTGTAGGGCATTATTAAAGTCATATTATAGTTTCGACTGCGCACATCAATGTCAAAAGTCAAGACTTATAAACAAATAATCCAACCTATCACAGAGCATGTATGGAATGCATCATATGCATTCTGTTTACAAATGCATGTTATATAATAGGCTAGACTGATTATTTGTATTACTTGCCCTACCACATAGGCCTGTGACACTTATGCTACTTGGCCAAATTTTTTTATGCTTCAGGAAAATACCAAGGTCACAGTTGCCCATTAAGTAAGTGAAATGCTGTAGGCTAAAAATGATGTGGGCAGGCTACAGCAACTGAAACAAATTTGGGCCCATAAAATCACATAAAGTTTTAAAAAATCAGGGAGGGCGCCATACAAGCTACATTTAGTAAATGCTGTACTGCTGAATACTTCTGCAGTAGTGATATGGGAATCCAAGGTATATTATTTTAACTGTACACAAATGTAAAAAGGGGGAAAATATTATGTTACCTTTCAATGTTACAATTATTTTTAGCAAAAAAAAAAGACTCAATGCATTGCAATGTTCCCCTCAAAGGACACAACCCATAAGCAATATATCTACTGTCTGGGACAAAATGCAGAACACAATAACTGGAACAATGTATCATGAGCAGTGAATAATAAGGTTATCTTGAACAGTGTACAATATAAACTATAATTCCCTCTGCCACAACCAGTTTTAAATTTGATTATGTCACATAGACCATTAATCTAGGGTCAAACCATGGACCTAAATCTTGACCTGGATTAGGGACAAATATATCCTTAAACACTGTCATTGTCACCTGAACATTGTCACCTAACACTGCCTGTGGGCTAGGTGTAATTCAACATGACAACAATACCACCTGTATTAGGTGTAATGCAAAGTCCTCCACAAACACCTGTGCCAGGTGTAATTCTCTGTCCACATTACCAAATTTTGTGACAATATCTGTGACTTGCTCCTTTTGTCATATTTGTCATTAATGCAATGAACTACACTGCCACATGTACCAAGAGTAATGTCCGGTTATTATCATCACATTTTCTGTGATTAATATCTGTGATTTGAAAATATATGGCCATGATGATCTTATATATAACAACCATACAGATAAATCACAGGCACTTGTCAGATGAAACCAGCTAGTGTGGACAGAGCTTAATGGGATTAACAAATCTTACGTAAAGGCCCTGTCCACACTATCAAATTTTATTTGACAAAAACATGTGACATGCCTAAATATGGTCATAATGACATCACATCATGACCATATATAGGCACGTCATTACTATATATGGACATACCACAGTTTGACAGTGTGGACAAAGCTTATGACAAACAAGAAGCAGCTGCCACCTCTTATGTGCATTTCAAACATTCAGGCCAATGCTAACGTAAAAGTAATATGTATTATCTAAACCAGGGCACAAATTGAGAATCAACCTCCAAATACTAGACAAAACACAACGCCACCTGGACCAGGCACGAAAAGGCACCTGGACCCAGGCACAAAGCCACCTGTACTCCGTTAAAATTGTACCCAGACCAAGTTAAAAAGCCATTTGGATCCAGGCACAATTTGCTTTTACAGTCACCAGACACAAGGTAAAAGGCAACTTTTGCCACAATTTCCTAAATTTTAGTTGATTTTAGAGACATTCCTGTACAGTATATAAATTAATACATTATTTATTTGGTTAATACAATACAATCATACATACTGAATCAAATTAGTGCTAGATACAACTACAAACTAAAGGCTTGACCCTCAAAGCCATGCCAAGATAGGGGTGGGGAAGAGATGACAAGGTTTAGAGCATTTCTACTTGCACTAAATACTTTAGTTGTCTTTTGAGCACAATGACAATACATTATTGTTCTTTGCTGTTAAATCTTTTTGTAAATGGTTCAAGTACAAGTATTTTTTCTGCTTGAAAGTTTGTTTTTTATTATAAAAAAATTAAAATGGAATCATGATAGATTACAGGGTAATTCATAAATAATTGAATTAATATAAATCATCGTAATTGAAGACAATACTAAGGAATACAATTTGTAATGATTACTCCATTTCAGCTTTATACAAAGAGGAGATGAAAATAAAAATGAATAAGTTTAACCTCCTGCATTTTCCTATATGACATCTACAATATCGAACAGTTTAATAACAAAGCAAGTTATAATATATCCTGTAGATCAACACACAAATATATTTATTATGGAATTTAAAGTGGCATTATCAAGCATTTCATCATTCAAACAGTTGATATTTACCATCAAAAGTCTGTAATTGAGGCTAAGCACTTTACCGTAGCCAATCACAGAATGCAAAATAAGAATGTTTACATTTTTGACAATTACAGAAAGATAAATTCTAGGACTAGTGACAATGCCACTTTAATAATTTGCAGGGTTAAAGGTTAAACTACTAGTACTATTGTCTGATAGGTAGACATCTAGGATTTAATGTTTTCTAAGGTGATCATCCACTTATGACTACTTCATTCCACAAGCAGAAGGTTTCAATGTCTCTGAACACACAAACATCACGCAAGACGATAAGTAGTGGCTAACTGCTCAACAACTGCTGACAACGAGCATGGCGACAAATAAAAGTTCGCCAACGACAAGAAAACACAGAATTATTATATATTTAGATTTTTATTTATTCATCTGTGGGAGGATTGTTGGTTGCTTCATTGATTTTTAATGTGGTCCCCAGTGGTACAGCAATCTCTCCACTATACTGGTTAACTTGTGGCTTCTGATGATGCTTAGAACAGCATACTCTGTCGCCTTGTTTTGTTCCCAAGCCCTAAAAGTATACAAAAATATATTTTATTTGAACATATACTGGCTTTTGAGTTCATAAACTTGCAACAAAATAATTCAATATTTAACTTCCTCACTTTATGTTTATGTTGACTTGCTTTCACACTACATGTACCTGGTTACAACTTGTTACTAGTTGTTACAATTTGTAAACAATGGTGACCATGTGAAAAGTGTATTAGCAAAGAGTATAGAATTGTGGTCCAACTGCAATTCGAACATGCATTCTATAGAAGCAGCACGTATCCGATAAGAACGCCTTTTATGTTTGTTTGAAGGACACCCTCTAGTTTATGCTAGTACTTTTTCTATGAAACTTATGAGTCGGACATAGTTACCAACCATCTCGCATCATGCGGGATGGTCCCGCATTTTAAAGTGATTTTGGATGAAACATGCATTTTGCAGAAAAACATGCATGACAGGCATTTATAAATGCAATAGAAAAACGGTCATGCAGTAACTTGAGACATTAGAGAGCTTTCGTTATCTTGTTCTAGAAAAAATTTCTCTTTTTACCGACCAAATAGCCCAGCCAAATCTAATCTAATTGCCACAACCACAGTTGGTTGTGTGACTGAAACTCAGACCCCTAGCAGGGTTAAACCCCAGGGGCCCTGCCAACCCCACCAATCTAGGCAAATGGTGTAGTCATGCATATCAAATCTCTCAAAATGGTAATCATGGAGTTTGACCTCTTGCAGTTCTATTCCCTTTGGTATTAATCTATATAGAGCAGATTGTGTATGTTCATCTTGTGAAGGTATTGTCTGTAGAAAATAAGCAAGCTTGTTATTGGTAACAGTAAAAAAATACAACAATCCTGACGACAATATGATAATATAGAATCAATTAATGATCGATTGACTGATGGGTACAAAGCAACCCTTGACTAGCAGCCTCATATCAATAACCTCCCAGCAGCTGACAGTGACAATTTCCCTGGTTAGTTAGTCATGACAATGTTAACACTAACCTAGCTTATCATGAGACTGGTTGATGTGTTATTTGACTCAGATTCTTCTTCAATTTTGCCTGCCACATTAAAATACAACGCCAATGTAATATAACAAGCATGCAAATGAAATATAAACACACGCAAAAGATATTAATAAATCCAAGCCCCCTTCACACTGTAGTTCATATTATATGAATAAATTTGTAATATGTAAACAATTTTTGATTGTCCATAATTCCTCAAATTTTTAAACACAAAATTGGGCAGAATTTTGGTTGGGCTTAAACATGAAATCAGAAAATGTAAACAGTAGAGAGCCTGCAAGTTTAGTGGAGCGAGGTAAGTCTAGCTTAGGCCTCACAGAAAATGCGGTTTCACAAAGTGTAGTATTTTCTGAAATGAAGGGGTGTGCTCATACATAGGTCAAGATAGGTAATAAGGGATTGGTTTATGCCCAGGTTGTGGTTACACATAAGAAAATTTGGTAGTTATTGTCCCATGCAATGAGAATCACATTTTAAAACATGAAATCATATATACTCAGTGTGAAAGGGGCTTAAAAAGCAAACACAACAAAGAGCACTACATGGGCATAATCTTGCAATAATAAATAATTAATACAATTGAAAGTTTAAATTACAGTTAAGCATGTTCAAATCAACTGTTTTTGATAGCCTGTATTAATCCTTTAAATTAATATAGAATCCTTGGCTATTCGTCCTGTGATTGGTTGTATTGAATAACCAATCTATATTCAAATTTAGACTGTCCAATAGATGATGACATGAACATGTGGACTGTTGCACAAGTACAAACATGCTGCAAATTAAAATATTAATAAAATAATATATTCTCATTAATATTGTCTATAAAAAATAATAACAATAGCAACTATACTACCAAAATTAACAACATTAATGTATGAAGTATTCATAAAACAGCAATCTATGAGATGCAATTAAAAAAAAATACAATAAACACAAATTTAAGCAGAATTAGGACCACACACCTGTCAGACTAGACTTTTATTACCTTGTTTTTAAAACCTACCAATAATCAACTTAATCTGTCAACTTAATATAGATGTAGGCTTACTACTAACTACTATTAAGCCAGTCTAGTCTATTTGTAAGGTGTATGCCTACACAAACTCTAAATGAAGCCAGAATCATCTTATTTTTATAAATCCTAAATAGATTCTTGTCATATGAATGGTTGATTTCGTATCACATGACATGGGCTCTTTGCACCATTTGTCACTCATCATGAAAATTTAGTTCCATTCATGCATTTTTGTTGCATTTGTTTTGTCCCATTGCACATCTCCACCTAATATAATGCCTTCATTGGTTGAAATATGTACTGCTCCATTCAGAGGAAATGTAGATCTAACTTTTTTCATGAAATATCGAAATGATAAAGATCTATTTAAGATGTGTTATAAAACAATTAATGAATGCTTTGTATTTGTGCAATGGAAAAATATTTTCATTCTTTCCATTGCACAAATACAAAAAACATTCATATTTGTATATTATCACACCACGAACTTTGTGGTTTGTATGCAGTCAATTAAAACAACGAGACGGCAGCTGAAGAAATTTTTCTTTGATTTGATATTAATAAAAAAATTCTGATAATAAACTACTCATTTATGTAGGCTTAATCTAAAGCTCTGTCCAAACTATCAACGTTTCTTTGACAAAAACCTTTTGTATGCTCATATATAGTCATGATGTGCCTATATATGGTCATGATGTGCCTATATATGGTCATGATGTGCCTATATATGGTCATGATGTGCCCATATATAGTCATGATGTGATGTCATCATGACCATATTTAGGCATGTCACATGTGTTTGTCACATATTTTGATACTCTTGACAGGACTATGCCTCTATATCAAAACTATGAAAAGTTTTTAGTTTTTAGTCTCAAATAACGTCTACATTTTTAGTTGATTGTGAATTAGCTATATTTTTATTTTCTCTACCATCTAGATGTTTATTGCATTATTTTATCAAATTAATAAAATTAATTTCTGCCTTCATATTTTTTTTCCTGAATACTAAACAAGGTATAAAAAGTCTGGCCTTTGACACATCAATCCTCAAACACCCGTTTACCAAACTGTTAAATAAATATGAAAACAACTTCAAACTACAATGATGTTATTATCACAAGGCCATTTCATGACAACTGTTTAAATCCCTGGCCACACTATCAAATGTTATGTGACAAATAAGCATAATGTGGCCATATTTAGGTGTAATATGACATAATCATGCCCACAAATGTCACATCACATATATTTGTCACATAAAATGTGTATGAACAGCACATTAAGCTCTGTCTGGACTATCAAATTTTCTTTGACAAGAAACTATTGTATACCCATATATAGTCATGACGTGCCTATATATGGTCATCATGTGCCCATGTATAGTCATGACGTGCTTATATATATGGTCATGATGTGCCCATATATAGTCATGATGTGCCTATATATGGTCGTGTGATGTAATCATGACCATATGTCACATGTTTTTGTCACAAAATAGTGTGGAGAGAGTAATACACACAAGTAATGCATTCCCAGAACATCAACCTTTAGTAGAGTACGATTGAAATTCACTCGCCACAATGATACACGTGCGTTTTCACTTACCTACTCCAAGTACTGACGATGATCGAATACCAGGATCTTTGGTGAGTTTACATTCTTCTAAATCAAACAATGATTGCGCTATAGTAGAAAAAAAAACACAATGTATGTGTTGTAGATAAGTTTTAAATGGATCATTCTAGAATGTCAATTGAACTTAAGAACTGAAAAATCTGAACAGGGCTAGGAATACACATTTGTTTTCCATAATCACATGTGTTGACCCACAAACTTTCATTTCATTTCTTTAGGCACGAAAGCCAATAACTGAACTTAAACACTATCCTATGTGGCATATCAATTAAACGACAGGGGCTGATTGGACTAGTATACCGGGGTGACCCCTACTCTCCTCAAAGGATGTACTGGGTTCCTTAAAGTGCACACGAGCCAAATGTGTATCCTTATCCGAGAAGACTTGTTTCACCACTGGAACCATTGGCGAGTGAGCCGTTCGAACCAGCGCCAATATTATAGCTGAAGCTTACGGTGCCCCTCACTTAACCGCTGGACCAATCAACAAACGCACATGTTTACAAATGTCTACGTTATCGTTTTGAGGGACCTTAGCAACAATAGCCAAGGGGCGGAGCTTAGGTGTGAGCACTGCATAGTACCTCCAAAGCCTTTTGTTGGAATCTCAATGAATAACCTCAATATTAATTTATTTTGCTTTTTTTTTTCTACTTGGCAAAAATAACATTTATGTTAAAATAAAAAAAAAATAAAAAAAAAAAATCAATAACATAACAAAAATGATAGCTATACAGTAATAATAATAATAACAATAATAATAATAATAATACTATGATGATAGTTGAACAAACTCACTGTCTTTAAGGTAATGAGCCTTAGGCCCGAGAGGCTTGAAAAATAGCTGTTTGGTTGCTTCAAAGGCTGATAACCGATTCTTGCCTTCATACTGAGGATAAAGTGAAAACAATTACTGTAAATGAAACTCTGCATCAATATTTACATCTTCCATTTATATGTTTAATTACCTTCCTAAATCATATGTTGGATTTTCTCCTTATCTATAGCTACACTGGTCTTAGATGTTAATCTGAACTGTATTAAAATTTTACGCAAAGTGGAGGATGGGGAAATGAAATTATAGCGACAGGCTGGATATGACTACCATTAAAGTTTTGGGATTACGCTTTGGTGTAACTAGGAGTCTTAAGATAATGACGACGATAATTAATTAAGGGTGTGCTACATCACAAAATAAGGTGATATAAAGTAAATATTAACTACTTGAGTTATTTTACTTCTACTTAATTTTTAGGGGGAGGCCTGCACCTCCCCCCCACCCCCTCTCCCTTCATGCACCCATAGACATGCCAGTGCTATCAGAACAATACTAAATGTCATCAAACATACTTTTAAAAGTTTCCCAAGTAGTTCTAATCCAGTGGTGTCAAGCCTCGGGGCAATATTAATGAGTGGCTCTGCTCGGTATACTGGGAATTTATATGACATAAAATCTTCATTGGATGTAATACTAGGCCACGTTTTGTCGTTTGGTGTTCCTAGAACTTTCCATATAAGGTGTAGTTGATCTTCAACTGTAGAACCTGGAAATAGAGGGCGCCCTGCTGCCATCTCGTAGAATATACAACCGACTCCCCTGAAAAAAGGAAGCATTACATTAATCAAAATAGGTTTGATAACCGACATTAGTAATGACACTAGCAATTTAAATGACAATGTAAAAATTATTTTTTATGACGACGATGATGACAACGATAATGGTATGGAGGTAAATGAGAAAATGACGCTTGATGATGTGGGAAGAAAGTAATGTATTTTTTGTTTTGAGTATTAATGTGCATCAAAGCTTTGATGCTAATGTGATAAAGCAATAAGAAACATTAGCCTGGTTCTCACGAGAGCTCTAGTATCTAACCGTTAGCACCTACGTGAGAACGCCCGATCGGTTAGCGCTAACCACTAGCGGTATCCGGATACGCTAACGGTTAGCAAGCGCTATCGGTTAGCAAGTTGAGGGCGTTTCTATCATCAACCAATCACATGTACGCGTTTACAATTTCCAGTTTCTTATTGGCCAGTGATTCGATCATCATATTTTGGTATCCGGATTGGGATTTTCTCGCATGGACGCATGGCATCCTGCTAACCGTTAGCTGCCGTATGAGAACATAGCCTTAGTAGTCTGAACTGTGTAAAGACAATCGACAGATTAAACACAAACACCCACTATTTATATTGATTGACCTTTCAACTCGAAAATAAAAGCACAAAAAGTAAAAATAAATAAATTTGTTCGATTAAATAATCGTTCTTAAACAAGATTAAAATAAAATTCATATAAAACATGTAAAATATCAATACATTAATTTAAAGAAATTCAATTACAAGACATTCAAAATTCACATTACATAGAAAATACTAATATATTATCATTATAATTATTATAATAATAATAATAATTATTATTATTATTAAATTTTATTTTTTATTTTAAATCATTTGTATAATGTTACTTTAGAAGTGTGATATAGAATTTTTAAAATTTCATTTTTGTCAAACTTGTGTGCATTCCAACAGGCTGCACCTCGATATGAAATGCTACGTTTTTAAAAACTTGTGTTTGGTTTAGGAATAAATAAATTGTTTGCACTATGCCGGAAATTGTAATTAAAAGTATTTGTTTTGAATATATTATTTTGTAAATAAGTGGGCGCCTGTTTCAACAGAATCTTGTAAATCATTATTAAACATTCATATTTATCAAGTTGAGATAAAGAGAGCTTCATTAAGGGAAGGTTAGGTTCATTTCGAGCTACAAAATGGTTTATACCACACAATGTTAACAGTACCATACAGAAACAAGTTATTGATAAACACAATAAAGAACTTACCACATGTCAATGGATTGGTTATACTCTGTGCTTCCTAAAAGAACATCAGGCGGCCGGTACCATAGGGTGACTACCTCATTGGAATATGTTTTACTTGGTACTGATTTGGCCCTTGCTAAACCTAGAAAAAAAAAAAAACAAAGAGGTAAAACAAATGATTGTGTTAAAAGCTAAAGTAGTAGCATGACAGCAATATTAGTAGCATGACAGTTGTAGTAGCAGTGTAGAAGAATTACAGTAGTATGGCAGTACAGTATTAACAGTACTTATAGCAGTAGCATAAAAATAATAATAGTAATACTAATAGTAGATATTTGTAGCTGTTGGTTTTAAAATCAAGTCTGCTGCCCTCTATATCAAGGGTAACCATACGCTAAATGCACATTTTTACATTTCAATAGACTTGATTAATTTATATAGATAGCAAATTTTACGTAGTAGTAAAAGGAAAAGCAGTTAACATGACAGCAATATTAGTAACATGACAGTAATAGTAGCATGACAGCAGTATTAGTATCATGACAGTATAAGTAGCAGTAGTAGCATGCCAGCAGTATTAGTAGCATGACAGTATAAGATCTAGTAAGTAGTAGTAGCATGACAGTAGTAGTAGCATGACAGTTGTAGTAGCAGTGCAGCTGAATTAGTATGGCAGAATTAGCAGCACTTATAGCAGTAGCATAAAAATAATAATAGTAATACTAATAGTAGATATTTGTAGCTGTTGGTTTTGAAATTAAATCTGCTGCCATCTATATCAAAGGTAGCCATACACTAAATGCACATTTTTACATTTCAATAGACTTGATTAATTCATATAGATAGCAAATTTTTCGTAGTAGTAAAAGCAAAAGTAGTAGCATGACAGCAATATTAGTAGCATGACAGCAATATTAGTAGCATGACAGTAGTAGTAGCATGACAGTATAAGTAGCAGTAGTAGCATGCCAGCAGTATTAGTATCATGACAGTATAAGAAGTAGTAGAAGTAGTATGAGAGTAGTATTAGTAGAATGACAGTGTAAGTAGTAGTAGCATGACAGTTGTAGTAGCAGTGCAGCAGAATTAGCAGCACTTATAGCAGTAACATAAAAATAATAATAGTAATACTAATATAGTAGATATTTGTAGCTGTTGGTTGTAAAATCAAGTCTGCTGCCCTCTATATTAAAGGTAGCCATACACCGAATGCACATTTGTACATTTCAATAGATTTGATTAATTCATATAGATAGCAAATTTTTCGACTATTATTGTATAAAAACTACACAATGGAAGCCATGATACTGCAACATTAAAAAAATATAAATATAAATTTGAGAATTACATTCCCGCAACTCATCAATATTATAGCAGTACGTAGAGAAGCAGAGGTAGTAGTGAATTAATCAATCAATCAATTTATTAATTCATAGTCATATACAATTTCTAAATATGCAAATACAGAGGTCTCAGCAAGCTAGGCTTGTATTGGGAACTGTGCATGCTTATACACTTAATTATTCATTCATTCTACACAGCACTTCACTAAACATTAGGATAACTGGCAATATTTTTCCTGCAGTTTATATCCCAGTAGTTATAATAGTATAGGGCATTTGGCTCGTGTGCACTTTAAAGAACCCATTGCATCTTTCGGAAGAGTAGGGGGTTACCCCGATGTTATGGTTCATTCCAGCCAGTCGTTGTGGAATGATGTGAACATGTAGCTACCATGAAGCGCCTCTATGTGGCTGCTAGGTAGTCACGGGCCACGCCCATACGCGATTCAGCACAGTGACGCTGCAACTTATGGGTTATTCTCCTACCTTTACCTTTACCATTAATAGTAGCAGTACTAATAGTAGTGGTATTAGTAGAAGTGTTACAGCAGTACCTCAAAATATTAGTAATATACTTTTTGAACAAATTTATGATTGCAATACCACTTACCAAAATCTGCTAATTTGAGTTCCCCCTTTTCGTTAATCAATAGATTCTGTGGCTTCAAGTCCCGATGTAGCACTTGACGTTTATGGCAGTATGCCAAGCCACGTAGTAATTGGAATAAAAATAACTGAGGAGGTAAAAAAAAAACATCAGCATATTTGTAAATAGCTCCAAGTATTATTGAATAAGGACTGGAGGTCCTGTACACACATCCGGCTTGTATGCATCATTCAGAAGTGTAAGGATTTAGCCAGATGCTATGCTTGATTTCAGCCCCTGTAGTTATGAAAAGATGAGAGCATGAAGCTATTATAAGCACCTCTTTACAGTGACAGGTAGTCACGTACCATGCCCATACACAATTTAGCACAATGGTGCTATGAGTTATGGGTTATTCTTCTGCCTTAAACCACCAGGCCACTTTCCAGTTACTTACCCTAACATTGTTCATACTCATAATATTTCCACAATCATCCATATACTGCTTGAGATCTTTTTCCTAGAGGAAAAACAATAATCAGAACATTACCAACAAAACAATTCAATCGATAAATAACACTGTTAACCAATTTAAATTCCTTATATTTTTTCCGAAAGGAAAAACAATAATCAAAACATTACCAACAAAATAATCCAATCGATAAATAAAATTGTTAACTAATTTAATTTCCTTTTAATTTTTCCTAAAGGAAAACAATAATCAGAACATTATCAACAAAATAATTCAATCGATAAACAGTGTTAACCAATTGTAATTTCCTTATATATTTTCCTAAAAAAAAAAACAATAATCAAAACATTGCCAACAAAATAATTTGATTGACTAACAAAATAACACTGTTAACCAATTTAAATTCCTTTTAAAGTAATTGGTATATAACAGTTTTCCATGCACTATTCAGAAAAAAGTTTAAATCCCAGGCTTAAGTCTAAGGCAATAAGGCACTAATTTTCAAATAAAGCATGGAAAACTACTATACTAATTGCTTATTATATTAAACCAATACAAAAATATGAACTTACCAGGTATTCAAATACTAAAGTAAGCGACTTTTCTGTATGTATAATGTCATGCAAGGTTACGATATTGGCATGTTTCAGACCTTTTAGTAGAGATACTGAAATAATAAAGTGATAAATACAGTTAAAATTTAAAGACATACATTTATCAAAATTTTACAATGGCCTAAATATAATAATATTACTAATAACCAAAATAATATTTAATTCCAGCCAAAAATATAGACAGGTTTATTAACATGATATAGAACTATATCACTTGCATAATAAATAATATTTATGTCTTATCAAATAGTTACATCTGATATTAATATTTTATAAATATATATATTATATTTATACAATATTCATGGCATTTTAAATGACAGTCAAAATTATATTCACTAATAATGAATATGAACATGATCCACGCTACTCAAGTAGTCAGAGTCTCAAATGAATAATCAAATATAGAGATATACTACACAAACCATACAATAATATGGCAACCACAACAATAATGGGACTAGGTCTACTGGTTTGGTATATAAGCACTCTTTTCTGAAGCAATAAATAAAATTACAATACGATAATAATAATTAGTAATCACTTATTAATAAATAGAATTATTGATAACATCAACATAAAATAAAGACTTGCATTCATGGTTACTTTAACCTTGAGTAAATTCCATTTAATGTTATGGAAAAAGAAATTAACGATAGACGCTGAAGATAAGAAGATGAGTTTAGGAAATGGCCTATTATGGATGAGATGAGTACCTCGCTACTGAGAAGGAGCGCTACAATCATTGCAAGATGGATTACAAATGAAAACATTTAATCAGGGATCATCTTGAAAATTTACCAAGACATTAAAAGAAAAAAATTGAAATGCATTAGATTACAATTATGTGGTATAAAAGTATAGCTTTGGTGTGGTTGTGTCGCTTGTGTCTTTAAGAAAGACATCAACATAGCTTGCATGGTAGGTGGAAGCGTGTAGCACAGAAGTAAGGCATTGGGCTGGTAGAATCGCTTGTGTCCTTGGGTGTAAGCGATACATGTCACACAGCAGAAAGGCATTAGGCTAGTAGCATCGCTTGTGTCCTTGGGTGCAAGTAATGCATGTAGGGCAGCAGTTAAGCATTGGGCTGGTGGCATCGCTTGTGTCCTTGGATACTCTATCTACATCTCGCCTTCAACATCCTACCAAAGATTGTCTGGGAGGATGTGGGGCATTTTAATGTTGAATAGTAAAGACCTTCCATCTGCAGATAACAATGATTAAAAAAAATATGATATTTATGACCATTTAGTTTGTCAAGCTATAGCATCCCAATGCTTATTCTTTGGTCAGAAACTTTACTTATTTCTCAGCTTCAATATCCTACAAATCTTATCCAGTATAATGTTGGTATTTAAATTTTTGAAAGGTGGATGGGTATAGCACAGCACTATAGCTTGACAAACTAATTTCAAGTTTCCTATTTATTTCAGATTATTGTTATCTGCAGATGGAAGATTTGCCAAACATCTTAAATGTCTTAACTAAGGTAATAATATACTACTGTATGGCAACACAGGGAAAAAAAATAAGTAAATAGGACATAAATGTCACAAAAGAAAATTAAAATAAAACCTCACCTTCTCGAATAGCTGTACATGGTGCACCCTCTTCATGCTCTAACCGGATCTCCTTTAGTGCAACTAAGTTATCTGTTAAGCGGCTCTTGCCTTTGAAAACTGTAGCATATGTGCCTTCACCTAACTTATCCAACTTAGTGTATGTCTCTAATTTACCAAAACCTATTTCAGACTAAAAGAACAGACCAAGTTGTTAATTCATTTGAAACAATCTCTATTATCTGGTGAAATAATCATGCTTCCTTTTAGGTGTAAAGATTCAACATGTGATAAAACATAGTTGTTATTACTTTCTTCAGTTCTGATGTCCTGTTACTGTAGCTATAGTTAAAAATGTTGTAGATACAAAAATTGGAAAAGCGTAACTAAATCCCTATTCCAATGAAAACCTACTGATCATTCTCATTTTAACCCGCTTACTGGAACTAATTTGTCACCACGGGCGTTGGTTGGGGAGGGGTGTCGGCAACTCCCACACCTCCTGCCTACCCCCATGAACGTCAGGTGAAAAAAAACCAATAGGTTTAATGCCTAAATAAATGAGGGATTGGAAAAGAACAATGAGTGACAGATTGCTAACAAGGTTTAGTAACAAAACTAACTTTATAGGCCCTTACCAACGACGCCCTGCGTGACCTCCTGGTCAGTTTATCGGCAGGAGGACTAAAGCTACATTTTGCTAAAAACTTTTCTGGAAGATGCATATCTGCCGGCAATGACAACCTCTTGCTGATGTCCTGCAAAATAAGAAAACAATTTACAAAATTATAGCATAATAAAATGTTTCAAAATATATTTTTTTTAAATCCATTATTGTCAGAAGAAAACTACAATGCATTATATACTTCTTTGATGACTGGCTATGGCTAGTTTAGGCGAGACTTTTTTCATACCTTGTTTCGTGAACTTATTTTTTTAAAGATTGTCAGTGGAGGGCGGGAACATTTTTTTTATTTTTTGCGGGCGGCAGGTTGAATGAATAAAAATTTTAAATAAAAAATGCATTTAATTTATAGACAGTAAAGATATTTTGAGCTTGGTAATTATATGCATAATATCTAATTCATTCCACCAACTATCAGGGATTACAATCTGTTGTTAAATTAAACAAAAAAGTATATTTCAGAATGTGGAGTACTGGAGAACTTTTGACAGGACTAAAGTACAGGGTTCACATCTAACCACCAAGTACAGTTTCAATTCATAACAGCAGCAGCAGCAGTAGTTAAACATGTGTAGCCCTTATACTCCCATATAGGTTTCTGATACTCTACATTTAATGAAAGTCCAAACATATATTATGTAACCCTAAGAAAACCTTGGTACCAGATTCAATAAACACTCAAGAATGAGCATTGAAAACAGCTCTGGAAGAACATATTACATATTCATGACATCCAGTCAACACAAAGATTTGAAAAGTAAAATAATACTTAGAAATTTTCTTAAGAAGGAAAATCAGAAAAATGGTTGAGTTCCATAACATCCAAATACGAGTTCTAGAAGTTATCACCAGTAAGGGAGGAGGAGGTACTATACAGCCAATTTCCGGCGATCTTGTGAGGGTGTAAAAGCCCTTTATTAAGCCCTGTCTAGACTACAGTATCAAATTTGACAGAAACATGTGACATGCCTAAATATGGTCATGATGACATCACATCATGACCATATATAGGCACATGAAAAATTTAATAATCTGGACAAAGCTTTAGGCAGTTGAAAATAATGAAAGGTAAATGAATCAGCCGAAGAAAGTGATTCAGTAAGTATATTTTTCTGTCTATTTCCTTCTCGGGGGAATAAACCCTATGGTATCGTCTTGTAGTTAACCCTGTAAGAGGGATTACTACCACGAGGTAGGGGGTGCCGTATTAGAAATTGAATAGAATTCGGAAATCGAACAAAATTGAGTTGGAAACTCGAACATGCCTAATAGAGATGCACCATGCATTCGATACAAACACCTTTTACTGTTTCTCAATCGTGGTTGTATTTTCGAGATACGGTAATAGGAGGATTGTGTTTCAACGACACAACCCCGAGAGTGAAAGTTCAACTCTTTGGTTTAACCTAAACGTTTGAAACCAGTGTGCAGAAGTAAACGATTACAAACTTCTCAAACCGAATCCCACACTGATAATTTAGTAAACATGATACAATATAAGGCAATAGACATATGCCCTCGCTGTGAGCCTATCTTTTTTATCAAGTTATCAACTGAATCAAAATCTATTCATGATCATTATACCGGTAATTAGTTACTGTACATCTTCTCAACAGAATCTACTATCAGTGACAAAAACTATTCTCAACTTTGGACACAGCTTCAGAATGATCATCGATTTTTTTTTTTTGGATTCTAACCATTAGATTCTTTTACACAGGTCAACGAACCTACAGTATATGAATTGTGAGACTATAAATCTCACAAATTAACTACTCGCATCAGACACCAGATTGACATACAAATTGTTTTAGAGTATTAACTACCCCGTCAAGTAAATCTATGTACGTCATTTGAGATATTCTACGCAATTCAAAATAGAGGGTGCTGTTGTAACGAGATAAATTTGCCTCGATGTAGTCTTAGATTACCATGTTAATTTTGTTATTGTGAATTACACAGCTATAGGTCATAATAAAGGTCTGACCAAGGTCTGATTCTATTTATAGAGGCATTGAAAAGATCTAATTTACCTAATTAGAAAATCTTTCCATCTACAAAATACTGCCCTCAACGATGTTTTGTTGTCAAGTTTAACATGGACTCAACATCAATAAATGACTAGATAATCAGGCCTGCCCACGTTTTGTCAGGATTACACAGTAAAATTGCAAATGCTCAATGTGTTGTTTTTTTATTTAAATCAATACAGAGCTGATTTAGGCCCTTTAAAAAATATTATTAGTTTATCACCCTATAAAAATAGTGATGAGGAAGGGAGGCTTATTTTTATTTTTTTATTTTGCTAAAGTCAAATATCACCCTTGGGTTGTTTGCTGGTGCACTAATATTCAAAATAAAACATGATTGAGATAATACAAACAATATCTAACTATTTAATTTTAAAAAAATTAAAAAAAAAAAAAAAAATTAAAATATATCTTATGAAGCCTCAATTATGAGGTCAGACCTTGCCATAGCTGTTAAAATCTAGCAGATATCAATGACAATACAATACAAATCAAGGATTCTAGAAGTTGTAATTGGTAAAAGGCCAGGAGATTCAGGCATTATAAGCAACCTTGTAGAATTCAAGAAGAAAATTTCACAAATTAATAAAGATAGATTTTCAAGTGACATTCTGTAACTTCTCCCCCTTCCGATGTACACTCGCATACATTGTAATAATACAATTTTTGTTAAGATAGCAACTTAAAAAAAATCATAATTTACACACAAGTTATTTCCACTTGCAAAGGGGAGCCCTTGCTGAAAAAAAAAATTAATGTATTTCCTCATTTATATAAGCCCCCTTGAGGAATCCACAGTTTATAAAAAAACTGTTCAAATTTCATAGGGATGGCCATTTTTTTTCTCCCTGAAAGCATGAATACTATAAACTTAGCTATTCATTCAAATCATATTTTGGCATTTTGCCCGGGAAAACATTAGTAGTGAAATCAGAGTAGAGGGTGGACTTAAACTAGAGGAACTATTTTCTTAATTTATTATAGTATTTGTAAATATTATCTTTTTTGAGAAATCAAAACTAACAGGACAAACAAGCAAAAAAGAAAATGTAAAAACTCTAAAGGAGTCACTACCAACTAAAAATTTGTCTTGTTCTTCGACCTCCACAATAAATTCAAAATTTGAACAAAGGCGCTGGAAACGCATTTCTCTGCCATAGACAACTGGGTAATCAGAGACGACGATCAACGTAATTATTAAACAAATAATCTGATTGATTTTTTTAGAATCATTTACAATTTGACATTATGACCCTCATTTAGTTTTATTAATTCAATAAAACTGTGAAAGGAATTTTTGACAAAATCTTGGTCATAAAATGACAAATGCATCGGTAAATAATATAACATCATTTTATGGATGATTGGAAATGGTTAGCGATATTATTTTTTCCATTAGTTCTGCAAATTGCTCTGTGTAGTATTTCATATACTCACTCAATCATTACATATCCATTGACCATTATATTATATAGGCAAAAATAACCTTTTTTTTTAGGTTCTCACCTCTTCATTAAATATGCATTGGCCATTGCAAAATTGCTGCCTTATATAACATATATGCAAATTATTAAGCAAAATTTGTATTTAACTTTGACATAATTTCAATGCAAACTAGGTGAAATATACTGTAGTAGTATTAGTAACTTTTTAAGCTTGACAAGCTGCTGTTCTATAGTAATGTCATTAGCATGCATATTTTATCTTATGAATATTTATGATATTTTCATTATACCAGTTACAATTTCCTGATTCATTAATATGCAAATTAAATCTACAAATAGTTGTAAATCTTACAACAAAGTAGGTGAGTCCATTAACAACTACTGTATGTTAACAGTTCATTTTTCTTTCTCTCCTACCATCTCCTAGTTATTACTGCATAAATGAAATTATGGAAAATTAATTCATTTACAGTAGAAAATAAGTTAAATGTTTACGGTAATAACATTTTTAGCTCAGATGAGGAGCTCTAGAAACATACGGCTAATTGATTAATAGATCTTTTTTTAACACCAATGAGGGCGGTCTGAGTGCTACAGTAATTGAATAGATCTTTTTTTAGCTCCTATGAGGGCGGGGGCGGAGCTGGCTGATTGATAATAATAGATCTTTCTTTGAGCTTTTTTTTGAGCTCTGAAGAGGGCGGGCTGAGCTGGCTGATTTACTAATAGATCTTTTTTCTATGGGCGGCCGTTAGGCCCAATATACTCTATTATCTCTATTATACTGCCCTCATCGGAGCTTCCAAGATTATGAGAACTTGTTTATGTACAATACATGAATATCTTTAATAAATATATTTTACTTGAAATTATCCTTTCTTTCAACCAACACAAACAATCATCATTATTTATTTATTAATTTTATTTATTTGTTATTTATATAGCACTTTTCTTTGCAATATTAAGTGCTACTTTCCTGGTCATCTAGGAAATTATCCTTTCTTTCAACCAACACAAACAATCATCATTATTTATCTATTAATTTTAATTATTTGTTATTTATATAGCACTTTTCTTTGCAATACTAGCTATTTTCCTGGTCAATGGGTCCACATGCTTAAGTGTTGCTGCTGTAATTAGCGAAGGAGTAGGCAACCTTAAGTGTTGCTGCTGTAATTAGCGAAGGAGTAGGCAACCCAACCAGGGTAGTCCTGTGAGGAGAGGTGTTATACAGTAAATATGTAGCCTATCTTACTGTAAATTCAAATTTATGTTAAAATGCATAACCAGAATCTAGTTTCTAGATACGTTTCAGATTACCCTAATAATATAGGTGAAGAATACAATAGTTTATAGCTATCTTGAGAAAAATCTAGTATTTACTTACAATGGTCTAAATTTTTCGTTATTCTGCTAGAACATATTCTTGAGGATCTGACATCACTTAGAAGTGGATTATGACGTCAAGAAGTTCATAAATGTTAATGTCTGAGATGCCTATCCCCAGTAAGGGGGGGGGGGAACATCCACCAACTTCTTGATTTCACAATCATCATCTAATGACACCAGATCCCAAAGAAGTTGTTCTTACAGAACAACGCAAATTTCTTCAGATAGTTAGTTACGGATTGCTATGAGGAATAAAATATAAAATTACAAGTATCAAAAAAGTATGATTTATAGCAATCAAATTATGATATCAAATAAATACCAAGATGCTACCTGATCCTCTAAATAAGAAACATGATCCCTTACCTCGCTGAACCGTCGCTGTAACCTTGGCTTGGGTTTCTGACGTAATTTCACCGGTGTAACCATTTCATCGGAAGCACCTGAGGCCCTGTCGCTCTCACCATCCGACCCTATCCTAGAAATTTCTGGTACACTTCCTAGAACGAAACCCAAATTCTCCATTATAATCAAAAGCAATCAAAAAGGACCATTTAAAAAGTAAGTCATATATCACGTCAAAAGGAAAAAATACTGTGTATATTTTGTAAAATAACAAGCAGCAGCATTAGCACTATACACTTGCTAGCTTATAGCGGTATTAAAAACAATCGACAGCTAACATGTCAATTACAACCTCTTGATGTCATAACCAATCAATATACCAAGACAAAAATTGATTACTCAATATTATTTCATAGACCATCTTCAGACAAACCTACCAACCGCTATTAATTTATTCCAGGGAGGACAAATTACAAGAGTTTAGATAATAACAAACACGGATATTTAAGCCTACTGTAATGACTCCAGACGATGGACACTATCTAGGTCTAAGGATGTATTAGTTTTTGTGATCACCTTCTTGTGGGCCTCATAAAGCTAAAGTACTTTAGTACTTACTCTACATGACTAAATCTAAGCCTAAGGATGTATTAGCATGGAGAAATTAATTTATGATATTAGTTTGTGTGACCACCTTATGGACCTCCTAAAGCATAATATCCAGGCCTATATTATTTATTCTAAATTATGGTTTATTGCATTTAAGCCTATTAATGCAAGATAATACTTATAATCTAGAACATGTGCTACACAAAAAATAATGTTTTATAAGATCATTCTACAGTCAAGTCCTAGTTCCTACTTCCACAACATTGCACATGCATTTATAATTAACATTACATTGCATTTCAGTAATTAATCAGATAAAGTTAATCATTAATTATGCACATTATTAATAAAGGGCTCTAAAAACGTAAAGACAAATCCATTACTGACTCAAAATAATAAAAAATTGTAATTAAAATTGAACTTTTTTTGTAAGAAATTCAATTTATCTTAAGATCTTTAAATTCTAATTTATTCATCAAAGCGCCATACAATTTGTGAAAAACATACAGTATGCTGTGAGGCTGTACATGATTAAATAAATGCTTCTCTTGTAAAAGTGCAGCTCACGAATAAACGTTGCACTAAACAATATTGTTTTTTGCTAAGCACTGTTCTTAATTAAGAGTTGCGGTGTTTATCAAGATAAATTCTATTTTGAATATTTGTTAAAGCATTTAATCAAGAGTACATTTACCCTATCTTGAATTGATGTTTTGTATCATTGGGACACTACCAAACAAGTAATTTCTCAAAGATTGAATTCTGTAATTACTAATGACGTTACCACAAGTTTGATAAGCCTACTGTATGTATTACATGCAAATTTAAAATTCCAAAAATGTTTTAATAAAGTACGCTCTCAAGCCCCTCTCTTGAAAATGCATCATACTGGTGCCTCCAAAACATGAAGCACTCTGTCATTCATATTGCCATTTACTCTACTTTTCACAACTCAATTCTGCATTACTATTATGTTACATAACACTCAGAGCCACCTTTGAGACTACTACCCTATTTAGATTAAACTTCCGGTGCGATTGGTTGTGATGCAACTTGCGGATGGTAATCAAAAATCGAATACACCCGTTTGCTACCAATCCCAATTTTTGGGCTTTAAGCCACAATAAAATTTACAATGCTGACTAAACATCTCTAGTGGCTGGCTATGTTGACTGACTTCAACCCATCAATGTCTGTTTGAATTTGTTTTGATCGGATTCCTTGGTGATCAGGAGTAAAATGATTGTAGCACACACTCGCAGCAAATAACAAATGCCAGTTTGCTTAATCTTTTTTTAATTGCTTATTATTGGTACACTTATTGGGGATTGTGATCAGATGTGATTTGGTATATTCAGATGTAGCAACTGACTACAACAACTGATCGCAAACAAAGGCTAATGTGAATCTGCAGTAACCAAGAACTAACCTACAAATGTTGATCACTACCACTAAAGACAAAAGAACTGACTATAAAGATATTTTGTTTTAAACAAGTCCTTAAAGATAAGGTTAGCAAATCCTGATATTAAACACTACTATCCATAAACATACTTGAAAAAATACATGTAATAGTGGCGGATCCAGGAATTCGTAATAGAGGGAGTCCAGAGAGGGACTTCCACAGATAGACGGACCCAAGAAATTCTATGATTATGGAACCTCCAAAAGGCTAGAAATGGTACTGTCACTGTCAGGCTAAAATGCCTGTTTTTCTCCATTATTTTGAAAAATTTAAGGGCAAGAGGGGGCCTACGTAGGCTGGCTAGGCTCGGGCTGACTTGGCCCCTTGAACCCGCCTACATGTAAAAATGGAGAAAATGTATTTTCGCCACTATTTTTGGCAAAACTATTTACTAAATAAAAGAAATTGTTTACTTCAGGTTTTTTTTCACCCTTCTTTCAAGACCAATACAATATATACCTCTGTAACATATTCAATTGACCTTACTTCCAAATGTAATAAAGAATAAAGACACTGATACTGATGCCATTACATATAAGCCAACATGTCTTAAAACATCCCAAGAATCCTGAAACCATGATTATAATTACTACTGGATGAATGATAATAAATTACATGAACAAAATGAAGACAGCCAAACATGAGCAATGATTTGTGAGCACAATTAACATTACTGTAATGCTTTGTTGTAATTAACATAATACAATTAAATTGTTTGTTCTACTAATAGGTTATACTGGTAAATATTGTATCAAAAATCCATGATGACTATAGTTTCTCTGGTATAAAACGTTGAGACTTGGCTTTATACCTGTCTCTTATACACATCTAGATGTGTATAAGAGACAGCTATTATACTGCCCTCATCGGAGCTTCCAAGATTATGAGAACTTGTTTATGTACAATACATGAATATCTTTAATAAATATCTGTCTCTTATACACATC